CCACTAATTAGCATTAATTAGCAACTCCAACCTCTCATCTAAAATATGCTAATTTGCCCCTCAAAAACCACAAAAAAAAAAAAAAAAAAACATGGCAGAGGACAAAACACATGTTGAGGCTTCCAAATGTGGTGGGTTTGGTTCATGTTGTTACCGTGCTGATTTTTCAACTAAGGAGGGAAAAATGTGCTTTTAAAAATACTCCTGCATGTGTGGGTTTGGCTTTAGTTCGGGATTAGGAGTGTCAGTCGTACCTTGGCATAGTCTAAGGGCAGCTGATCCTCCGGACACTTGAAGACACCCTCACTGCAACAACAAAAAGAAAAAAAAACAGAAACAAAGAAAAGTTTAGTATTGAATGAAAAGAAGACAGAGAAAACAAGTTTAAAAGCAGACATTTTAAAACCACACTGACCCTTGGACAGAGCTAAAAGGCACTTCCATAATAGTCTGAAAGAGCAGCGTTGCTCTGCCCTTAGTGCTTCTCTGTCTCTTCACATACACTTTAAAGCTGAAAAGTTCTCTGACTGATCACGCTGCATGACGCACTCTCATGCACAGTGATGTCAGATCTGTGAGCTGCTGACTTTAATGACATTGGCTCTTCTGTGTTTGACCCCTCAGAGGACACGTCTGCACAGATTTATGTGACTGCAGAGGACAAAACTACACTGTAGAGCTTCATCTGTTTTTCTCTAAAACATAAAGAAATGATTGTGAACCCCACTGTTTAGCTTCTTTTTCCATTTCTCTTTTTGCTCTAGTACCACAGCCGACATAACAAAGTTCTTGTTTTAACAGGCTTCAGTTTTTCTCAGTATACAAACTGAACCTCGCCTTCATGCTCGAGGCTCATCCTCGGGACGATTTGCCGATCTGCTCCCGTAACAGTGAGACGACTATTTTCTGCATTTTTCCCCTGCAGTAGTAAAACCCCAAATAAGACTTGAACACCCACTTTACTACATACCCCCTGTGCAGTTTTTGTGGCGCCACAGAAGTGCATTCAGCAGCCCGTTTAAGGTCCAAATGACTGAGTGCCATGGCTCATTAGGGCAGCCGTCTCCCAAACTCCCTGCCCTGATGTTGTCATTAAATATTTACACTTCTAAATAATAGAGGCAGCAGCCACTAGGGGTGAGCTGCTATACAGCGCCGAGGCTCACAGCTGCACAGCAGACACTTCTACACACACAAACTTAAACAGGCAAAAAAATAAAAAAGGAGGCAATCGTGGCTCATCTCCTGAGATTTGAACCATGTTATGATTGTCTGGAGCCTCCCTGTTATTTTTGAGTCACACATGTTATTGTTGAAAGTCAGGCCATTTAAAAGATGTCACCTTGTGAATCTGCTCATGACAAACATGATCACACGATCATGCTCAGGCTTCACACTGCTATAACGGTTTGTTTTCACACAGTTTTTCTACTCTTTTCTCTGTGTGTTGTCAAAAAGGGGTGACCTCCGTAAGTACACACGTGCCCACCCCCCCTCCCCCACCTGCTATGTAAACCTTGTATTTGTGAAGGTCAGCCAATCAGACCAAAGCTTAAAACAGCAAATTTCTTACATATGAAAAAAGTGAAGGGGTCAGGATGAAATTATTTATTTAACTGTAATTTATGCAAAGCTACTGTAGCTGAAGCTAATATTAAAAATACCGAGCTGGAAATCACTATAACTGGTCCTAATTTCAGCAGTGGTTTTGCCTAAAACTACAAAGAAAACAAAACGGCAGGGGAAATGTGTTCTGCACAAAAGCCCTGAAGCTTCATCTGACCTGTGCAGAAGCCTCTTATGACCCCGACCACGGACACATTATGCTTAAATTAATTAAGGGACAATCGTATGCAAACAGTAAGTGTATGCCTTTTGGTGCTTTAATTTGCTTGGCAGTGTCACCTGACTGCAGCTCCCAGAGGCACAGGGACATGTGACAGGGCGGGAGTGCATGTGCACCCCCCGTCTAACCAGCTGCTGTGAAACCAGAGAGTGAGCAGAAAGGGGGGGGGAGGTTAGGCCTGAGATGGAGGATGGAGGGAGGGTTGATGAAAAAAAAAAGGGGGGAGGTTAATGCATGACGAGACAGCAGTAATTCTCTTCCATTAGGGTCACTGTGTCAGCAGGGAGCTGGAGACCAATTAACAAACCCACAACGGGCTGTAAAAGGAGGTCAATCGATTAGAGGCTTCGAGAGCCCAGTCAGCATCTCGTGTGGTGTGAAATCATTTACAGTATTCGTGGCCATCGCAGATTTAGAAAGCGCTGCCTGTCCCACAACTGTAAAGCGAGAGGAGATGGGAGGCGACAGGCTCTCCGCTCTGGACAGGGGGTGATGTAGGCGCAGGCAAGGGTGGTGGGGGTTTACAGCCCGAGGCCCCATCCAACTCGGGCCATGCATCTGACACACAGAGAGGCAGACAGGCGAAAAGAGCCTAGTCACAGACTGTCAGGATAATTCCTTCCCCGGTCACAGAGAAGCTCCCACAGCTCTCACACATTCATGTGTTCGGCCCCACGAGCGATAACGCTGCCCGACTCTCTCGGGTCGCTCTCGAATCGAACTGGCTGTCGCTCCATGACAGCACATTAGCAGTGAACAGCGGGGCTGATGTGAGACACAGCTCCGGTTCAATTCATCCATCTTCTCTGCCAAACAATTTCTCTGGCTAGCTGAGCTTTGTAGAAGAAATGAAATATAACCCACAGATTTGGGTACAGTACAGAATACTCTGCTACAGGACTGCTTCAAGCGACATGTTTACTACAGCAAATGATTATTTGGATATTGATACAAATTTGTTTTAAGCATTTATCTAAGATCACAAAGAAAAGACTGGAAAACTGGTAGAAAGATCAATGGAAAGTTGAGCAGGTTCTTATATTGTGCATTTCTACTCACTTGGAACACTCCAACCACTCCAGGATCAAACTCCCAACCTCTAAGTTAGCAGTTGACCTGATCTACCTACTAAGCTATAGCCACCCTAAGGTGAGATTTGAACCCGGGACTCTACATTATCCTTGTGATACATCCTGCTCAATCCAGTGAGCTAAAAAAAGCAAAAAATAGTTTTTTCTAAATGCTTGATGGTTCCAAATGTGTACAATTTGCCATTCAAACAATTTTCTCTCGTATAGTTACAAGCACTACTTTGGACAGATGTTTAATCCGACAAACAAAGCGATCTGAGGACGTCACCGTGGGCTGCGGGGAATTGTGCACTTCTACTGGACCTTGACATTTTATAGCACTTTACACAGTAAGCAACTAGCAGATCAGTAGTAAAAAAAAAACATTGCACAGGACAGCCGCAGCCTGACTAAAGCTACTATAGGGTAAACATTACTATTAAGCAAAGCCTTGAGGGTAAACTTGAACTGTGCATGTGGGAACTCGCACCCCACAAACTTCTTCTGAAACGAGTTCGTCATAAATGTGCATAACAGTCGAGATGCTGGTAAACAGCGTTTCGGGGCTGTGTCGGGGAGTCACGGGGGAGCAGCTTAAGAGCGTATAGCATGCAATTTAACGCAATCACTTCATTAAAATTTGATCTCCTCCTTCTGTCCACTCAGCTGCTCTCGGGCATTCTTAATATCACCTTAAATTCACTGGCAGGCGACACCGTCACATCGTGTTAGGGGGTAGAAAACACATTCCCCCCACTGCAGGTGAAATACACCCACCCACCAATCAGCCCTTAAATCTCTCTTCCCTCTAATTGCCCTCTCTTTCTCTCCGCTGTCCTTAAATCTTTTCAGGCCCAGATTAAACAGTCGTTCATTCATCCAGCTGATACCACGAGGACAGCCGTCACAACATGCTTCGTCACTCTGCGCGCAACTCCTGACAGGCAGACGGTGAGGAGTACAAATCCCTCAGGTTTAATCTCACCGGTGCAGAGCGGAGTGGTGTTTTTCCAAGAGACAGCGACCGGCCTGCAGGCCACACAGAGAGAACATGTTGGTGACAGTCTGCCTCAGAGTAACCTTGAAGCCTGCTCTGTATTGACTAAGAGAGAAACTCCTAAACAAACCCTTCTGTGTTTGCCATTGTGGCAGGCAAGGGCTGTCGAGACGCACAAAACAAACTAAATCAAAAGCACGAGAGCTTCGGAGAGCGCCAGTCTGTGGCACATTAACTCGCTGAGCAGACTTTTGTTATTGAGTCAGATCGCTTCGGGAGCCTTGACTGAACTGCCCACTTATCTCTCGCCGGAGCTCGCTGCCAGCTTTTATGTTCATCCTTATGCTAAACCCTTTTGTCTTTTCAAGATATAACCAGGATTAACTTTAATATGCACAAACAAAACCTTAAATTCCACCAGTGCGCTGCATGAAGGCTTTGGGTGTCACAGCTGAAAATCTTCTTGTTTCCTCTCAGGAAGTTGAGGGAAAACAAGACCTTTGTTTTATCTCATCTAAAGTTACGATAATCCCACAAATCCATCTGGTTTTGGGTTTATGTGTGCAAGAAGTCAGGACTTCCTTCGTCCAAGTCTCGTATTTTGAACAATAATGAGTACAGATTTCATAGAGACATCAGAGCATGAGTTTTATGGTTCAACTTCATTTAAATGATCTCCTTCTTTGCAAGTTTGGGATACTTGATACAAAACAAAACATGTACCTCGAGTTTCACACTGTACTTTCTAATATTTTTTTTTTGTTTTCTGATGTTTCAGTTGCAGGATTAGGGTTTAAAATCACAATCAGTCTTTCTCAATACAGAAAGACACGTTTTCAATAACCATTAAGTAATTTGAGAAGATCCGTTTTAGCTATCGTCTCCAATTGTTCGGCAGGCCTGGCCAAAATGTGCCAGCGGTACTCGATGAGTCACTCTGTGAGTAGAGGCGCAACCCTCTGGGAGCTGCCGGTTGCTAACAAAGCCCCAGAGTTCAACCGCACGACCAGAACTGCAAGCGAGGCAGCAGCATTCTCTGTTTCCAGGGTGTGTCAAACTATATGTGGGGCGGGCATAGCGCTTAAGTGTAGAAGTAATGAAGATACGAAAGAGAAAGTAATAAGGAAAAGATTAGAGTTAAGGTAAATCATTTTAACCTGGGTTTTTTTTCCCGTGGGAGGGAAATAAAACAATCTAGCATGGATTGTGGACTCTGCATCCAACAAACTAGATAAAAACAAAAGTGCTAGCAGATTAAAGGAAAGGAACAACCTCCAAAACGCAAAATACAGGCAAAGATCGGACTGTACTAGAACGTCTCAACCATTTTTACACGTGGACTCCAGTGCTGAGCCTTTTCATAGGTTAGATGTGAAAATGCAAATATCCCTGC